GGGGCTCCGTTGGAATCTGAATGTAGCATCTGAAAAAACTTGTTTTCTCAGTTTTTTATTTATTTTTTTTTTTTTAGAAACTATCAAGTGTTAAATAAAAGACTGCATGAAGTTAGAATAAAATGTATTTTTTTAAAGCAGAGGCTCTGTCCTTTCTTTTGATATATTGTATGTATAATAAAATATTCTGGGGGCCATGAAATCTTGAGAAAATTATCAAAAATGCTGGGACTGGCTAGTAACTTTTTAAAAATACACTTTTTTAAAAAGGAAAAGGTTAAAGCACCACTGCAACAGCCATCCAATGAACCACCTTCAACCACAACAAATAATCAGAAATACACTGATATATGAACTTTGTATGGACTACTCTAGGTTAGCGAAATTACTAAATAATATATTTTTAAAACTGTAATTACAAATAAAATATACTTTTATTTAGTAGTCCAGAATCATATTATAACTGGCTTTGATAGCGGTCAGCACATACAAATAAATAAACAAATAAAATCCGCAGAAATCAATTCAAGATTTTTTTTTTAAATAAAACCACATCATTCCAGAAGAACGTATGGGTAAATATTTTGGGTTGAGTAATTCAGGACTAAAGTGCTGGAGATATTTAGTCACATTGCAATGCACCATACACTTCAGGTGTAGATACAGTGTTAGCAGGCATATACAGCAAGGCAGCTCACTGGCATTGAATAGATCCTTTTCAAGGGCAGCTGCTTATGTTCAGTGTTTTTTTTTTTTTTTTTTTTTTTTTTATAACAGCCCGTCGCATCATTCTGATAGTATGAGACTTGAGAAAAGTATCCTACTCCTTCTCAATTAGATAGAGAAGACTGTCTTCACTCTCAAAGTGCACCTGCAGGCTGACTTTAATGGCTCACCTAGAAGCAGATATCCAGCAGAGTTTAATTACAGTGACAGGATGAAATAGGTGGAGTTGATATCCAGCTCGTCTCTTGAGATGGAGACCGAGATTTCTCCATCCACTTTTAAATGGTACATACATACCTCTGAAATGTGATCAAGGTACAGACAAACAGAAAGAAATAGGCACCCAGAAAGACAGCAGACATGGGCAGAAGCCAAAGAAAGTGGATATGTTCCAATCTCTAGTGCATTATACATTTCTGTGAAGTCTCCTACTTTCTAAGAAGCGTCTAATTTGAAACCATAGCTTGCAACAAACAAAAACTGCTCAATATATCAAGTAGTTCAACTAGTTGAAGATAGTCGAAGCTATAATAAATAAATAATGTAAACAATTGTGTTAAATGGCATTTTTCATTTCACTCCATAAAAGTTAGACATATAGTGCCACATTCAAGGTTCCAGAAACAAAACTCTGATTATTCAAATAGATCAGTGAATAATTTATTTGAGCCAGTTGCTTAAAAGGAATCATTTTAATGAAAAGACTCCCTACTTTGACAGTCTGTACTGATACACTGCTGAAAAATGCAGTTAAGTTATACAGTAGTGTCCTCATTTGAAGTTAGTTACTTTTCAACATTTCTTCAAAGGCATCATACTAAACAAAATGGTACTTTACGGACTGATTTGAAACACTGTGCATTGTCAGCCTCTCCGTTTATAGCATTCTTCACATGAACAGTACACAAGCACTAATGTTCATAGTTGCAATAGTCAGATATTAGCATGCTACTAAGCTAATGACTCAATAACATAAAGACCCTTTCACATAACTTGTCTCAAGTTTCCCCATTATATGACAAACATGTTATGGGGGGAGGGGTGTTTTGTTTTGTTTGGTAGGTCGTGGTGAAGATGAGGAACATCTGATTCAAATTAGGAGGTGGAGATATAGGTTCTGGTGTCATGCATGGAGGGAGGCGCATACGGGGAAATGACATCATCCACTGTTCGTCTCTTGTGCTCTTGGTGATAGCTGGATTTGGACGACTGTCGGCACTTCGGAAGACTCCTAATGGCTTAACAGCCTTTATTGCACTTTGTGAAACCCCTAGATTTATTCAATAAACTACGTTGGTTATAATTGATCACTCGTGTTGGTTTCCTATATTGTTGCGGCCACGAGTCGGCCGTAACAAACACTATTAAAACGAATTTGCAACAACTACCGAGTTACCTGAGATATTGGCTGTCTGCCAGTCAAGCTATTTCTAAACTTTTCTAGCTTTATTAACACTGTTTGATGCTGACCTTTCGTTTTAAGACTATTCTAAACTTGCCCTAAATTTGTGGCTGTCACACTTACTTTTGCCTCATGTGATGCTGTATTTTAGTACAAAGCAAAAAAAAAAAGTTTTAAAGGCTGTCAGACTTCATGAAGAGATCTTGAATGTCTCATAATTTCCTTTTATTCATCTATATTTACCTTATTTGTTGTATTTTGAATATTTCACATCCTGTGTTTGCTGTCATCGACCTTTGTTTGGCTCGCCTTGCTTACAACTTGTAATTGTCAACATTGCGGCAATTCTTTTTTTCCCCTTTCTGTGAAGCATCAAAGCCACAGGCAGGGCTTTTTTTGTTTTGTTTTTTCTCTCTTTTGCACATTTTCCAATTTGAAGCTACCCAGTAAAACTGCCCTTTTGTGGAACTTGAGCAATTTTGGAGTATACAAAAACAGTGCATGATGTTTACGGTGAAGAGTTACGCTTACATGTCATGTGTAAGGGCCTAAATTACCACCTAAATAGACCTTTTTCACAAAAACCGGAAATACGTAATCGTTGTGGAAACGGAGTTCCCGTCAACTGTCGACACATTAGAAAAACCTACTCTGGGAGGAGAAAATTGATCAGAGAGTCTTCAAAACTTCGAAAAAATGTAAACTTGTCATGGTCCAGTTGTTGATGACTTTGTAAAATGCTGTGGTGATGCTTGTCTGCAGCTGATGTATCTAAGACCAAAGATATGATATTGATTTCAGAACTGAAGCTCATTCTTCCCAATATACGTTCATTAAAGGTAAGAAGGTGGAGTGTGTGGAAAGTTATTCATATTTAGGGAGTATTATTTACAATAAACTGCATTTTGATGTGAATACCAGAAAGAAGTCTGTCAGTTTTATTTAACAGTTATCCTGAATTTGTTGCACTCCTGTTGCTATAGAACAATCAAAGATGAAGAAAAATTATCCAAATATTAATTTATCCCTTGTACACTCAGATTGTTTAAATACTCAGAATGGTATATATTAATATTTTAAATTTATATGTAGCCCACTGTTGTGTGTTCTTATTTATCTTGTTTTATATTGTGGTGTATATTTTTATGTGCTTATTCCGCTGGATACAAATATCTTAATAAAGTTGAACATGAACTAACGTTACTTCAAAAATACACAAAACATAAAAAATAAACAAACAATGACGGCTTATTAGTGAATGGTGACATGAGAAGTACAGAAGATCACAGGATCAATAACATCCCGCCAGATTGCCTGAATCCAGTTCCTTCGAACTTCATCGACAGGAAACTGACGAGGGAAGGAATGAAAACGACAGGTATGGCTGCTTTTGGGAATAACCAAAAAGATCGGTACGCAGCAACTCTCACTAGTTGCCTTCGGCGCTATCTGTTATGAATGGAGCGGAAGAAGATTACCACGACAATTGCGTATTTCCGGTCACAAATACGGAAGTTGTGAGAAAGGTCTATTAGGTTACACCAACAAAACTAAACTTAAAGGGACAATGTGTAGGAATTTCTCCCATCTAGTGGTGAAATTGTGTTTTGCATTCGAACGAATTGTGCTCCCCAGCCCCTAGCTTTTTCAAATGTGTGTTGTATCTACGGTTGCTGTTATGTACCAAAAAGCTATGACAGGATTGGTTCTAATAGCACTTCCTCGAGTGTTCCGTCGGGTGAACAGGTTTGTTATTTCGAACAAACTGCAACTTGAAACAACAAACAAATGAATTGTTCTGGCTGGCTCTGAGCGAATACGTGTTGTGGAAACACATTGGCCTAGTACTTTTGGTCCCTCTCTCCTATTATAGTTTTTAAAGATTTACAGGAATTACATGGAAGCCTCCGTGGACCTACCCGTCCCATGTATATAAAGATAATAAATTCTTGGTTTACAAGGATAAGTCAGATCAATGGCAGAGGTATTTGTACACCATTGAGGAGATATTTATGAATAAAAATATAGATTTTAGATAATAAAATACCTAAAAAAGTACACGTTAAGGGTAAGATCAGGAAGAAATGGCTCTTTAACGTAAATATTGCAGGTTACCACTTTTTGCAGTATATGTCTACATCAGACACAAGCTACATCGTGCACATCTAAATGACTAACATTATAATTAATAAAGCTGTGTACACTGGAAGTATCCGTCTGCTGTAACAAACTGCATCATGTAAATTCTGCAGTGAATGGCAGAGTATGGCAGAATTACAACCGTCAACCGTTATCCACAATTTCACCACCCAGCCCCACACATAACATCCTCACTGAACTTCAAATCATACAAAAATCCATAACAATAAACGCTGCATGAACAAACAAGGATATCTGAAAATGTCAACTGTAGACGCCCACCAATCTTTTATCCTCAACTGCTAATCTGAACAGTCTGACAATAGCCACAATTTATTTGCCTCTATTTCCACTCAGCCTCACGGCATTTCCAGCAACGTTTTGAGATTTTTATTACGGTTGTCAGTTTGTCTTTGGCAGACGTGACGGTATAATTCACACATCATCAGACACTCAGTTTGGAGAGCTGTATCTGGCTGCTTCAGTAATGAAGGTGTGCAGAGAAGATGCAGAAACCGATTTGTGAGACGCTGCCACACAGAGATAGAGATACAATTATCCCTGTAACTTTGCTCAGAGCATAAACGCTGGGCTATATAACATAGCATTTCACCATCCAGGAACATAAATGGAAAGTTACGGTCCTGGTGCAAGGTTTATTTTGTAAAAGTGGTAAATACAAATCCCTCATGTTAGTGACAGGGAATGAATGATGGATAGAACTGAGTCTCACCCTCGGTGTTTTGAGCCAAGATTTGGGTGATGATAACAAGCAAGCCAATCGTCAAACCCAGACAGGCCGATCGCCACCAGCTCCTCCTCATCTTCAGTTACTGCCTACTGCTAACCCACCTGCGGAAAAAAAAAAACAGACAGAGATGGTTTCATTTTATAGGTCCAAAGGACCAATATATTGACGTAAAAGCACTTGACAAATTAACAGAACTATATACTGTATACTATATATAGTATCCTGTATATATATATATATAGTACTATACTATATATATATATATATATATATATATATAGTATAACTATATATATATAAATCAACTGATTACAGACTGATTACAGAAAACTGTGATGCTGCATCCAAACTGATTACTGACGGTTACTTTATAGAATATTTAAACTGTATTTTATTTACATATTTATATAATATCATCCACCCTGCTATCTAGATCATACTGGTCAAACACTTCATCCAATACACCAGTGAATACCCAATACGCACACAGAATAGCCCTCACAGTAAACTTTTTCGTTTTTTTTTTTTTTTTTTTTAGCACTTTTCGATTTTCAAAACATTTTCCTCACAGGGACCAAAAAAATGTCCCTACAAGGACAAGGATTTTGGATATTGCCATCGGTTTGGATATATCTGAACCACACACACACACACACACACATAAACATTCTTCTAAACAAGTCAATAAATTCCTAATGGCAGCTCAACTGATTTAGTCAAAAGCAGATAAGTCTGTGCATTAAGCTGCGGCACATGGATATTGTCGATTTTTCAGGCACGGTTACAGATCAGTGCACACTAAATTAACACTTGCTACTCCCAAAATGGAAGTTACAAATGCCAAAAAAAAAAGAAAGAAAGAAAATAAACTGCACATCAAGGAAAACAGTAAGAATTTAAATACAGTAAGAACTATAGGCAGTTATTTTATTTTATTTGTCTATTGACAATATCTGGGGTGGATACACATGCTGATTTCTGTCTTTTTTAAGTTGTATTGAAACGATTTTTATGAATTATAAACATAAAGAATTTGCAAAATTTAAACATGCTCTTAACATGACGGTTGTCTCAATGAATACAGACTTTAGAAAACAAATATAGACCTTATGCACCAGAGAAACGTGGGCACCGTCATCTTTAAAATATTGTCTTCGAACTTCCGTTTTTGCGATCGCTCTGTATATTTCTATGGCATCGCTGTCGAGGAGTAATTATCTGGTGAAGTGGATTTACTTATTGTAGAGTTAACAAAAGTTATCATGAGCATTGTAATGTTTTACCATATCAAGTGTTGTAAAGCAGATGTTATAAGAAATGTCGACCAGGAAATTTTTTTACGAGCAGTTCATTCATTCCTATGCAAGATAGCTATGTAAATACAGACCGCAAGTCAAAAGACAACGAGCGCAGTGCTGAAAAGGGGCGGGGCTACATAAGGTCTATAGGAGCAACATTATTGGTTGTATTGGAAGTGACGGCAAAATTGAGGGACCATCATCATTCATGGAAAGTCTGGTAACATTTTCACATTAAATATTGACATGGCAACATTGTTTACGGTTATTTCCCATTTTTTGATCATAAATGATATCTAAATGATAAAAGCAAGATAAAAGTTTCATATAGAGTAATAAAATATTCTACTAAAATGTCTACCCTAAAACTTCCACAGTTAAAGAAATGATACTGTTACAAAAATTTCTAGCAATTTCTGAGTGAATTTTCTCAATTTTTTTTTTTTTTTTTTTTTTCACAGTGGCATATTTTCTCAGTTCACACACAATTTGGACCCTGGATGTGACTGCTGGAAAATAACTGTCATTGTAAAGCCCTTCTCAGAAATAAGGGTTTAATCTACTTTGCTTTGTAAGTGTTCGATGTGCAAGGACAGATAATACTTGACTTGACTACAAATATACACATGGGATTAGAGCATTCATTTGTGCATCTGTGTGCATGTCCCGTCGTGAGACTGGCTGTCTCATCGGTTGCTGCCTACACGTGGAGGTTGATGTAGAGATAAACTTAAAAAAAACAAGTGTCTTCATTTGATCTGTCACCTCTATTCATACTCACAAACTTTACGATGTGCCTGCGGCAGCCATAAGCCACTGAAACACTTTAAAATCATACGCTGATGTGCGTCAACACAGTCATCTAAATACAACATCAGACCACATCGCCGCCACTGTCAGATTCTCTATTCCCAAAAGAGCTAAAGCAAGTCTCTGGAGCATGATGGGTGAAAATGATAGTTACCCCACTTTAACATTTCCACAGAGTGCTCAACAACTGTGACAATACACAACAAGGAGGGTTAAAAAGAAAAAAAAACAGAAAAAAAAAAAAAACAGGAACTGCTAATACTGTCTCTGCTGTTTTCAGCTTTGAAGCTTAGGTTTGAGGTACATAAGCAAGGTCCAAAATTAACATTCATGGCAACATATGTTACTTTATCTGGCTGCTATTGGGTCCCTTTAAGAAATGCTGAATTTTGGCTCACATGTGCATCTGTGAGAATTATGGACTGTTCTATTGTGAGGCGCCTGTGGTTTCATTACGGAACTGTTAAGGAAAGACAGACACATTACAACACAGAAAAACCAAGCGAGAAACCAATATGCTGTGGTGGAGGATATAGTATGTAAACAAAGAATGAATTTAGACTATTTAAAACCATTTAGGGAATATGAAATGAAAAAAAAATGAATAAAAGCATCTGCCAAATGCAATGCAAATATATATTCGACACATATCTTATTTTTAAAGACACAAATTAAATAAATACGTAATATGCAACACTTCATGGCGAAAATACCAAATTAAAAGGAAAGGCAGTATTTAAATGAACATTCAGATTGACCAGATATCAATTAAATATCAGATTTTGAACCGTATTTGAAATAAATCCAAATTGGATGCCAAAACAATTGGATCCCATAAGTGTTTTTCCTAATTTGCGTGCCAAAAATGTCTGAGCTCTGCCAGATATCTGTGAAAAAAAGAAATGTTAGACAGCATAAAGGCTGTCTTATAGATTGACAAAAAAATGTATATCCCTTTTTCAAGGCTAGAAACATTGCTTGAAATGTAAGGTGTGTTCAAGAACGGAAAGATTTGTTTAAAGTAAAAGGTAAAAAGAGTGTTGTTTACCTTTATCTTCCACTATGGCAAAGAAATGTTGTGTTTGAGTCAAACGACTCTTGAAATGCACCCTAGCGCCTTTCATTGATCTTCAGCTTGATGTGTTGTCCATCTTGTCTAAATGAGGTTCGTATATACTATATACAACCCCATTTCCAGAAAAGCTGTGACATTGTGTAAAATGCAATAAAATCAAGAATCTGTGATTTGTTAATTATGTTTAACCTTTATTTAACTGACAAGTGTCCCAATGTTTTCACAGGCCAATTTAATTGTATTTTGGAAATATAAACTAATTTTAATTTTGTATGCTGCAACTCACTTCAAAAAAAGTTGGGATAGAGACAAAATAAATGTGAAAAATGATTATGGGATATCCAAGTTAAATGGTTTTGAAACAGTCCACAATAAGCAGGTTAACTTGTAATAGGTATGGCTGTTATGTTTGTTTACGTATAAAAGGAGCACCCACCAAAGTCTCAGTTTTTGCGAGCAAAGATATAGGCCATGGTCCACTACCTTCATCAGACAATTGTCAAACAAATGAAAAAAACTCACATTTTCTAAAGTAAGATTGCAAAGAATTTAGGTCTTTCACCACCTACCATACATACTATTCTGAAAAAGGTTCAGATAATCTGGAGAAATCTCAGTACATGTAGGGCCAGGCTGGAATTCTCTGATGAATGTGTTTGAACCTTTGAGCCCACAGATGGGACACCATCATGCTAGATGCTATGTGTTAAATATTGTTACATGGGCTCAGGAGAACTTTAGAAAAAGTGGTCACTTAATCTGCTGCTGTTACAGTCTATAGTCTGATGCTGTATCAAGAAATGAAATTCAAATCTCTGTTACGCAAGGAGAAATACATCAGTTCTATGCACAGATTCTATGGGCCCGATCTCATCTCAGATGATCCAAAAGACAGTGTAAATGTGTGATGTGGTCAAATGAGCCCACATTTCACCCACTAAGCAAAATGATGTCCAAAAGACGTCAATTCAACGTCTTTGTCACAAAAGTCGGACGTTGAAAAGACGTGCACTGAGGGGCCGGAATGAACGTTTTTATGACGTCTTTTTGTGACGTGTTCTGCACGTCCGATATAGACGTTAATGTGTCCTTCGGAGAAGATTAAAAACTAGTTCAAATGTGGCCATTGTGGACATGTTTTTAACATAACTTATGGTCTCATTTAGACAATTTATACTGTTTCTGTACCAAATAAACACTCTCAGGATGCATTAAATTAAAACTCATGTTTATTTACATTGTTTAGATGCAGTTTAGATGGTGATATTTGTTTCATTTTATATAACTGTGGTGATCAGTGTTTGCTTTAGTTGGGCTCTTGGTCCGAAATCGCCATACTTTAGCTTTTCTTTGGCTGTTGTAATTGTGTGTTTGTAAAACACCATGGTTTGTGTAGAGAAAGCCAAGAAAATGAAAAATCAGCTGTCTTCTGCTGCTTGTTGATGCTGACAAAATCAACACAATACAAGCATTAAACAGCATTTAAACTTTTTTAAACTGTTTTTATATCTGATATTTATAACCACCAATCTTGTGGAACTGCATTATTTAGATCAGTAACTTTAAAATGATCCCTGTGTACAAAACTTTTAAGAAAGTGAATCACATAGTCACACAAAGATATCAAGATTTTGGATATGATTCACAACAACGGTGACAACCAAAACATAAAAGCTTGGGAATCAAGGATGTTTTGTACTATGAAAGCTATCCATCGTGCATTGCAGCATGAAGCATTTTTTTATTGTCACCATTGTTGTGAATCATGTGCAAAATCTTGATGTCTGTGTGTGACTATATGGAACATTTTCTCAAAACATTGTGTAAACTTGCTTTTTGTCCACTTTGCTACTAGCCCAAATAATGCAGTTCCACAAGGTTGGTGGTTATAAACTCCAGATATAAACACAAAAGTCTA